ATCGAGCATAAAGGGTTCATTTCAGCCGTCAGCCTCTCACTAAGAATCAAAGGGCATAACTTTTATTGGGAGGAGAGCATTAGCACGCAACTTAGATAAATTTGGTAAAAGCAGGTCTGCAATTTGGAAAGAAATAATTTATTGTACGATGAAGCAACTGGTGCCTCATAAGAAAAGTGTTAAACGGCTGAAAAGGTGAAATCAAAACTAGAGGTCTAGTGCCATCTAAATCGTCATAACGATGATCCCAAAAATTGTATGCTTCTGTTGCCATTTTTCGACCTGCTGAAGACTGGCGCTACTTGTTCGAATCATTGTCGGTTGACTGGATTGAAACTGACAGAACCCAGGTCAAACAACGGTTCATTTGTGACTCAGAAGTTTGGTAAAAGGCACCAGAATATCAGCATCTTTTTCGCACATTGGTTGAAGACACACCTCCGTCGATAACAGTGACGATGCGTTGTAGGTTGGCATTAGAAACGACGAATAGCTTATACAATCTCTGAAAGAGCAGCGTTGTTGCCAATAGCACCAAGCTGCGCAATTCCAAGGTTTGAATTCTGAACATCTTGCACAGTGGCAAACAGAAAACTGGAAGTGCAAAAAAATAAAGCTCTTAAAATCAAGATTACGATTAAAGTTGTACGATCTGGTGTCAAACGCTGTTGCGAGAGAGTGGAATATCTATCTAAAGTGGTACACTGGCTGCAAACAACTTGTTTCAGATGGCGAGGCCATCGCCATCGAAATGACGAAAGCCACCTTGCGAAACAAGTATTTGGCGCACAGCCTGATGGCAGGCAGTCGCAAGGAAGACCCCCACGACACAAAGAGAAGATCTTGCTAAAACTGATATGGCATCGAAAGGACTGAGCAGTGATTCACCGGTTGATTCGATTAGAGTAGAATGCTATTACAACACGCAGCGTCATATTCGATGCAATTGGACAAGATGAGGAATCATGGACATAATGCTGCCAACTTTCTTTTTCCTTGCAGAGGATAATATTTATTATTAGCACCGACGAGAAGATGATGAAAAAGAGGAAAATGGTCGTGATTACCGTTTTACTTAATCAAATTATATGAACATCCTAAAGTAAATCCAGCAATTGCATCATAATGGCAACACTAAAGCTGTGTGAAAACGTATATCTGCCAGTCTCGCCGTAGAAATAATTTTTAACAGCGCTATGAGCCTATATCCAAACAATTACCATAACAAGAAGGTAATTTCACAGAACAGTTAAATTCATGTTCCCAAAATTCTTTGAACCAGGGATTCCTTCTGTAATGACGTGGGTTAAGCGATGTAAAATATCGATCGAAACCTATAAAACGTTTAAATAAA